CGGGGCTGCAGCTGCCTCTGCTGGGCTGGGAATGCACCGGGACATCGCTCCGGGCTCAGGGATCGCCTGTGTCCTGCCCTGGGCCCTGTCCCACAGCCCTGCCATCCCTGGGATGGGATTCCTGCCCCACAGCCCTGCCATCCCTGGCGTGGGATTGGGAATGGGATTCCTGCCCCACAGCCCTGCCATCCCTGGCGTGGGATTGGGAATGGGATTCCTGCCCCACAGCCCTGCCATCCCTGCGGTGGGATTGGGAATGGGATTCCTGCCCCACAGCCCTGCCATCCCTGGCGTGGGATTGGGAATGGGATTCCTGCCCCACAGCCCTGCCATCCCTGGCGTGGGATTGGGAATGGGATTCCTGCCCCACAGCCCTGCCATCCCTGCGGTGGGATTGGGAATGGGATTCCTGCCCCACAGCCCTGCCATCCCTGGCGTGGGATTGGGAATGGGATTCCTGCCCCACAGCCCTGCCATCCCTGCGGTGGGATTGGGAATGGGATTCCTGCCCCACAGCCCTGCCATCCCTGGCGTGGGATTGGGAATGGGATTCCTGCCCCACAGCCCTGCCATCCCTGGGATGGGATTCCTGCCCCACAGCCCTGCCATCCCTGCGGTGGGATTGGGAATGGGATTCGTGCCCCACAGCCCTGCCATCCCTGCGGTGGGATTGGGAATGGGATTCCTGCCCCACAGCCCTGCCATCCCTGCGGTGGGATTGGGAATGGGATTCCTGCCCCACAGCCCTGCCATCCCTGCGGTGGGATTGGGAATGGGATTCCTGCCCCACAGCCCTGCCATCCCTGCGGTGGGATTGGGAATGGGATTCGTGCCCCACAGCCCTGCCATCCCTGCGGTGGGATTGGGAATGGGATTCGTGCCCCACAGCCCTGCCATCCCTGCGGTGGGATTCCTGCCCTGGGATGGGATTCCTGCCCTGGCCATCACCTTCCCCCCCCTGAAGCTTTTGTTTTGGGGTTTCACAGCCTTGGAACCTCCTGTTTGCCCTTTTGTGATTTTTCTGTAATCCCCAAAAGCTCTAGTGCAGGGCAGAGGACTGGGATGGGACGGGGACTGGAACTGAAACTGGGATAGGATTGGAGCTGGGACTGGGATGGGAATGGGACTGGGACTGGAATGGCACTGGAAATGGGACTGGGATGGGACTGGGACTGGAATGGGACTAGAACTGGGACTGGGACTGGAATGGGACTAGAACTGGGACTGGGACTGGGATCTCTCAGCATCCCCAGGGGCACCCCAGGTTGGGTTTGGGGCTCACTCACGTGCAGAGGCTGGGAGTAGCCGGGGGACAGCGGCTCCTGGAGCAGGCGTCCCTCGGGGCCCAGCGGGAAGGAGGGGCCGTCGGGCAGGGAGCCGCTGCTCTGGGTCAGCGCGGTCAGCGCGGTCACTCTGCCCCCGGACGCCCAGGAGCTGCTCTGGCCATCGGAGCTCAGGGATCCCCTCACACTGCTGGGGAACTGCAGGGGACAAGGACAAGGACAGACCTGGGGAACTGCAGGGGACAAGGACAGACCTGGGGACACAGCCCTGGGGACACAGCTCTTGGGGACACAGCCCTGGGGACAAGGACAGCCCTGGGGACAAGGACAGACCTGGGGACAAGGACAGACCTGGGGACACAGCCCAGGCAGGAAAAACAGAATATCCCCACTTGGAAGGGACCCGCAAGGATGAAGAAGCCCAAAACCCATCCCTGTCCTTGTGCCAGTCACAGGCCATGTCCACCTCTGGTTGTGAAGGAATTCAATGTCATTTTTGCCCTGTATAATGCCCTGTATTCATAATTTAAATAATTGAAAATAATATAAAATAAATATTTTATAATAATATAAAATAAGTAATAAAAATAATAAAATGAAAATAAAAATAAAAATAAAAATAAAATAAATGAAATTAATAATAAAATAAATGAAAATAATAAAATGAAAATAATAATAACAGAATAAATGAAAATAATAATAAAATAAATAAATAATAAAATAATTAAAATTAACTAAATGAAAATAAAAATAAAATAAATGAAAATAATGATAAAAATAATAATTTAAATACTCCCCAGGGATCAGCAGCTTGCTGGCAGCTTGGAGCAGAGCCTGCCAGGTCACCAGAGTGTCACACAGGTGAGTTCCCACCCCAAACTGCAGCATCCCGTACCTGGCTGGCCTGTGGCAGCCTTGAGCCCACCGAGAAGCTCTCGGAGCCCGAGAGGGAGGAGTCGGCGTTTCGGAACTGGGCGGTGTTCAGGCAGTAGAGCCACTCCTGGTAGTCCTGGTAGCTGGCACAGGTCACCCGGATGGAGTTTATCAGTCGGCCTGGAAAACATCCCCACGCTGCTGATTCCTCCCTCAAAAATCCCTGAAAAACATCCCCACTGCTGATCCTGGGCTGGACCCTCAAAAATCCCCGAAAAACATCCCCACGCTGCTGATTCCCCCCTCAAAAACCCCCCTGCTCCATCCTGCCCTGCATTCCACAGGGTCTGGAGGTGCCGGGAACGCTCTGCCCTCCTGGCAGGACACAGAGCATCCCAAATTTCCCTGGCTGCCCCGCAGGAGGGTGGGCACAGCCCCGAGCCCCCCGTGGCTGTGCCAGCCTGCACTTCCCAGTGAGGTTCCCTCACCTCCTGCACATCCCAATGAGATTCCTGCACATCCCTTTGAGGTACCTGCTGTCCCCCCACCCCATGCCGGACACCCACCTTCGATCAGGAAGGAGCTTTTGTCGTTCTCCTCAAACAGCACCTGGATGGCGTTGAGGGGCAGCTCTCCCTGCAGAGACAGAGACAGGGCCAGGGCTGGGATCATGGCTGGGGTCAGGGAGCCAGCAGAGCTCCTGGCCGTGCCAGGGGGCACAGCTCTGGGGCACCTGGGCAGCCAAACTCTGCTCCCACAGGGGCAATTCCAGTGAGGTTCCCGCCTCCTGCACATCCCAGTGGGATTCCTGCCTCCTCCTGCACAACCCAGCAGGATTCATGCTGTCTCCTGCATATCTCAATGGGATTAACTGACCCTAACCCTCCTGGACATCCCAGTGAGATTCCTGCACATCCCAGCGGGATTCCTGCTGCCTCCCGGTGCTGAGCCACCCTCTGGATAAATTCCCACCTCCTCTGGATAAATTCCCACCTCGGGGATCTCACCAACATCCCACAGATCGCCCCAGCATCTCCCCCTCGCTGTTTCCCACCTCTCCCAGGGCCGTTTCCCATCGGAGCCCTGGGGTGAGCCCCATGGCAGCCCTTTCGCTGCCCCAGAGCCGTGCGGGGCAGCTCCTGCGGGGGCTGTGGATTTACAGAGCAGAGCTGCGGGCAGGGGAAGCTCCCGTGCCCCGGCACGCCTCTGGAAAAGCAGGTTCCCGTCCCAGGCCGGTGAATCAGCGCCGTGGGAAGGGAGCATCCCTGGCAAGGGAACGGGGGCAGGTTTAGGGTTTCAAAAGAGGTGAGCTCATGGGAGAGCCCGGCCCCGGCCCCTTTGCGGGGTGCCCCGTTCCCAGGAGATGCAAACGGCACTTTCCCAAAATCAGGCTGTGCCTGGGGCGAGTCCCAGCTGCTGGAAAACGCCATCCCGAGCTGCTCTGGGATGGGGAGAGCTCTGCCTGCTCCTGGCCCTGCTCTCCTGAGGGATGCTCTCCCCAGGGATCACAATAGAAATGCTCTGCAGGATGTGGAAAACGCCGTCCAGAGCTGCTCTGGGATGGGCAGGGCTCTGCCTGCCCCTGGCCCTTCCTAGGGACGACAATCGGAGCGTTCTGCAGGACGTGGGGCAGGGCCCTGGGGGGTTCGCGGGTTCACGGTGCATTTCACAGCCCTGCAGCCCTGCAGCCCTGCAGGGCTGTTTGTGCCCGGGGTTCCCGGTGCATTTCACAGCCCTGCAGGGCTGTTTGTGCCCGGGGGCTCACTGTGCATTTCACAGCCCTGCAGGGCTGTTTGTGCCCGGCTCGGTGACTCAGGGATGCAGCAGAGCAGCAGCTCCAGGGTCACAGACAGGCCACTGCTCCTTCTGGCGCATTTGTTCCAGCACAGGAGGAGCAGAGAGCTCTGGGTGAGCCATCAAACGGTGCTGCAGATCACAGGATCACGGGGAGGGAAGGGAAGGGCAGAGAGGCCCTGCAGCACCAGCCATTAACCAGCACAGCCCTGCTCGCGCTCTGCCGTGTCCCCAAGGGCCACCGGGGATGGCACTGGGTGAGTTCAGGGCCATTCTGACTGCTCAGAGCCTCTGCCTGCCTGTGCTGGGGATTCAGCACTGCTGCCACGGGCAGGCACAGCACAGAGCTGCTCTGGCATCCCTGGGATGCTCCCTGTCCCTGCTGTCCCTTCTGCTCCTGCAGAGGGAGAACGGTGCCAGCGCTGCACCAGCAGCAGCCTCCCTTCCCTTCCCTTCCCTGCCCTCCCTTCCCTCCCCTGCCCTTCCCTTCCCTCCCCTGCCCTCCCTGCCCTCCCCTGCCCTCCCTGCCCTCCTGTGCCCTCCTGTGCCCTTCCTGCCCTCCTGTGCCCTTCCCCACAGCCCCAGCTCTGCTGCCAGGCTGCGCCCAGCTCCAAAGTGGCACAGAGATGGGGGAAAAGCCCCCTGTGCCAGCTGCTGTCTGCAGCAGCTCCCTGCCAGCCCAGCCTCCTCCTCCTCCTCCTCCTGCTCCCTTGGCAGCAGCTCCTTGCCCCGGGCTGCTGGAGCAGAGCAGGGTGTTTCCCATGGGAGGGGATCCTGCCCCAGCCCAGCTGGCTCGGGAGGGGTGCCAGGAGCTCGGGAGGGCCGTGGGGAGCAGCAGGGCGCTCCGAGGGCAGCTCACCTTGAAGCACAGGCCGCCGGGCTCCTCGGACACGATCACCAGCGTGGAGGGGTACAGCACCAGCAGCCGCTCGTGCTGCTCCTGGGGAGGCACAAAGGGACAGGGCTAGAGCTCTGGGACAGCCAGGCTCAGAGCTGAGAGCCCTGGGCTCTGTTATCCTGACTGCAGCCGGGGCAAGGCTCTGGGAACAGCTGAGCTGAGCTGAGCTGGGAAACGAATTTGGGAAGGGCCAGGCTGCTTCTCTGTGCTCAGAGATGGATTTGGGAAGGGCCAGGCTGATTCCCTGTGTGGGAATTGGATTTGGGAAAGGCCAGGCTGCTTCTGTCTATGGGAAGTGGATTGGGAAGAGCCAGGCTGCTTCCCTGTGCTGGGAGATGGAGCCTGCACCAGTGATTCCATCCATGGATCCCTCCATCTATCCCTCAATCCCTCCATCCATCCATCCATCCATCCATCCATCCATCCATCCATCCATCATCCATCCATCCATCCATCCATCCATCCATCCATCCATCCATCAATCCATCCATCATCCATCCATCCATCCATCCATCCCCCATCCATCCATCCATCCATCATCCATCCATCCATCCATCCATCCATCCATCATCCATCCATCCATCCATCCATCCATCCATCCATCCACCCATCCATCATCCATCCATCCCCCATCCATCCATCCATCCATCCATCCATCGATCCATCCATCATCCATCCATCCCCCATCCATCCATCCATCCATCCATCCCCCATCCATCATCCATCCATCCCCCATCCATCCATCCATCCATCCATCATCCATCCATCCATCCATCCATCCCCCATCCATCCATCCATCCATCCATCCATCATCCATCCATCCCCCATCCATCCATCCATCCATCCCCCATCCATCCATCCATCCATCCACCCCTGTGTCCATCCCTCCCCGGAGCCGTGTCCTACCTGGAAGGGCAGGTGCTGCAGCTTCACCTTGGACAGGCAGAGGATTTCTCCCAGGGATTCCCGCTGGGTTCCCCTCCAGTCCTGCACGGGCAGGTTCTGCACGGACCAGCGCAGCTCCTCCTTGTCCCCGGGGCCCTGGGGACAGACACACGGAGCCCCCCTGCCCTCAGCCAGCCCTGCCCTGCCTGGGGGCCCCTTTTTGGGGTGGCAGGAGCAGGAGAGGGCAGGTAAATCTGGGCAGGAGGCAGTTTTGCAGCTGGGAGCGGATTGGCACCCTCCACAGCCAGCATCCCTGGGAACGCCTTTCCAAGGGGATATTTGTGTTTGACATGGGGAGGGCATTAAAGCACCCTCAGAGATGGGAGGGACAATTCCTCTCTAAGCTTCAGCCTCCTCCTGCTGATGTTTTGCAAGCTCTGGGTGGTTGCACAAGCACCAAAAGCACGAGAGCTTCCCTGAGGCTGACTCAAGCTGTGACCCCATGGAGGTTGTGCTGCTGGTGGCACCCGTGGTGGCAGCTCTTCCCCCCAGCACAGTGCCTCTCAGACCCCTCCTGCCAGCTCCTTTTGCACCCTTAATTCCCCAGGAAAGCCCCCAAAGGGAATCCCCCCCAGTGTCCCAGCTGTGGGACATGGGACACCCACCTGGGACAGCAGGGGCAGGGCCAGGCTCCCTCCACAGAGCTGGATCTGCTTCTCCAGGTGGTACAGCCACTGCTTCAGCTCGGCCTTGGACTGGCAGAACACCACCAGGGGGTTCAGCAGGGGCCCTGGGGGCGGGAGAGCCGGGCTGAGCAGAGCAGAGCTGGGCAGGGACGGCAGCACCATCGGGAGCAGCTGGCGCAGCTGGCACAGCTGGCACAGCGCCCAGCCCTCCTGGGTGTGGGGACACCAGGGCTCTGCTGCCACCCCTCCAGCCCCCATGGCACAGCTGGCACAGCTGGCACACTGGGAGATGGAGCCTGCACCAGTCACTCCATCCATGGCTCCCTCATCCATCCATCCATAGATTCTGTCCATCCATCCATCCATCCATCCATCCATGGATCCATCCATGGATCCATCCATCATCCATCCATCCATCCATCCATGGATCCCCATCCATCCATCCGTCCATGGATCCCCATCCATCCATCCATGGGTCCCCATCCCTCCATCCCTCCATCCCCAGCAGCCTGTGGGACGGCTCTGTGTGGGCAGGGACTGTCCCAGGTGCTGCTCTCCTGTGTCATCTCCCAGTGTCACGCTGGCTCTCCAGATGTGGAACACCAGCGCCTTTCTGGCACTGCTGGTTTATTCATTGCCTCCTGAACCCAGCCCGTGCCAGCCCAGCTGAGGATGACTCCGGACATCCCTGGGAGGCAGGGACAGCCCTGCAGTTGCTGATTTGAGTTTGCAGCTCTCGCTGGTCCCGGGGCACGAGCACAGCTCCCACACCTGCGCTGCTGCTCGGGGCAATAACCACCCCGGCAGGGTGCAGCGTGGATGTTGTGATTAATAATTCACCTCCGAGCCCGTATCCAGCCCTGCCTGCTGCAGGCTCACAGGGATCTGCCTCTGTGGGACCTGCAGGTGCCCAGATAAGCCCGGATAAACGGGGGGGACTTTGCCCTTCTCTGGTATCTTTAGTGCCCCAGTTCCTGCATTATTTACAAACAAGGTTTCACCGAGCCTTTGAAGTGTGTCTGGCTTGCAGGAAGTGCAGGGTGAGCAGAGCTGAGCTGGGAATGGGGGCACCGAGTGACTCCAAACCCATGACAGCAATTTGGTGTGGAGCCTTTGCTGCCCATCCACGTGGCTCTGGAGCTCTGGGGCTCTCCTGTTTCCTCCTCCCTTGCTTTCCCTGTTTCCTCCTCCCTTGCTTTCCCTGTTTCCTCCTCCCTTGGTTTCCCTGCTGATGCTGCTCTCGGGGCATTCCCTGGGCATCCAGCTCCTCACACCAATTATAAATGCAAATTAAAGCCAGCAGGAATCCCTGTGCCAGGGCATGACCCTCGGGCACCCCCGGGCACACCCCCAGGGCATCGCCCATTGCCACATCCAAAAAAGGGTCCAGGAGGAGAGAAAATGAGGAAAAGAACTGCAGGACACGCCTGGCACTGCTGCAGTGGGTGCCCAGACCCAGCCCTGTCCCCCTCTTTGGGTTCCCTGAGCCCAGTAGCCCCCCAGACCCACCTGAGATGTGCAAAGCGTGGTCCTGCAGCCCCCCAGACCCACCTGAGATGTGCAGAACATGTTCCTGCTGCTCCATAGACCCACCTGAGATGTGCAGAGCGTGGTCCTGCAGCCCCGGGCTCTGCTCAGCCCCCAGCTCCTGCACCTGCAGCTCCTTCAGAGGCAGCAGCTCCTGGGGAAGGAGGGCAGGGGTTACCTGGGGCTCCATCCTGCAGCACGCTGAGGAACACCCGAATATCCCACAGGGTTTTTCTCTCTCCATTCCAAACCTCAGCAAAGGAGGTTTGGCTGCCCGGCTCCCCCAGCGTGGCCACAGAGCCCAGCTGGCCCAGGTGAGCCCTACCTGGTAGGTGAGGCCATTGGGATCCGAGGACTGGAAGTACAGGTGGGACTGGAAGAGCTCCAGGAAGCAGCTGTGGACCTCCTGCACAAGGGACACCTTGGGGTTAGCTCAGGAAACCTCTGGAGTTATCTCAGGAAACCTCTGGAGTTATCTCAGGACACCTTTGGGGTATCTCAGGACACGTTGGGTTAGCTCAGGACACCTTTGGGGTTATTCAGGACACATTTGGGGCCATCTCAGGACACCTCCCAGCCTCCCTCTGCATCCCAAGCACGGAAAATCTTCTCCAAGGGTCCCACCTGTGCTGATGGAAGTGCCCCAGGTTCCATCAGCACAGATGTGGCAGTGCCCAGAGCAGCCCAGGGAATTCTCCAGGCTCCCATTTCCCACAATTTCCCCTCCCTCCCCAGTTTCTCCCCCATCCCCAGGCACAGCAAGCCCCACAAAGAGGCGCCTCAGCCTCACCTGGCAGTGCTGGAACTTCAGCTTGACCTTGGAGTAATAAATCATTCTGCCCAAATCCCTGACCACCACTTTCCTCCGGCCCCTCTTGAACAGGCTGGGGAGCCTCTGGTCCAGGTTCTCCTTCTGGCTCTCCTGCTTCTGGAGGATCTGTGCCGAGGGAAGAGCAGGTCAGGGCTGCTGCGAGGGGCATTCCCAGCACATCTTCCCAGCAGGATTCCTGGGACAGGGGCCCAGCATGGGCTGTTTGTTGTTGGGTCTCCTTGCCAACGTGCTGGGGGCCTGTGAGGAGATCCTGACCTAAAGCTGGGGCTCCTGGGCTGCAAAAGAGGAGGGCACGGGCACATTTCACTCCCAGGGCCTGGCTGAATGGGGGTTGCTGTTTTTAGGACAGGAGTTAACCCTTTCCTGCTGAAATCCTGCCTCCAGCTTCCCAGCTATGGGACAGAATTTAGGGAACAGTAAAAGTCTCACTGGGGCAGCTCAGAGTAGGAAAAACGGTGTTTGTGTCACAAATGCCGGGCAAAGAAAAATGGTGTTTGGTCACAAATGCAGGGCAAAGAAAAATGGAATTTGTGTCACAAATGCAGAGCAAAGAGCAGCTGGTCATGGGTGCAGCAATAACAAAACACAGGATAAGGGCACCGGCAGCACCTGGGAGTGGGGAGAGGGTGAAGTGATAAAATCGTGGGCACGGAGATAAGGAGCAGCACAAGCCACAGCTGCTGCTGCTGCTGCTGGGGACGGGGCAGCCGAATTTCCCAGGAATGAACAAGGCTGAGAGGAAAAAGCAGTGTGGGAGCTGGGAATGCAGCAGCACAGTGGGAAAGAGCTTCCAGAGGAGGGAGAGGCAGGGCCTGCACAGCTCCTGGTGTGGCAAGGAGCAAATGGGACATTTCCATTTCCCTCACCCAGCAGGCCTGGCAGGGGTGGCAGTGAGAGCCTGAGGGGATGGAGGTGATGACAGAGCACAGGAGCTGTGGAAAATCGGGGTCAGAGCTCTGAAATCTGCCCCAAACCCACGGGGATGCCTCAGCCGAAGGGGCCCGGCGCTGTCCCTCCCTCCGGGACCCTCCCCAGCCCCGTCCCGGCCATTCCCGTTATCCCGGCGATCCCGCGCTCCCGGATCCTCCCCAGCCCGCTGCCCTGACATGTTCCACCCCATCCTACAACAGGTAGAACCAGTTACTCATTAACTGCTCCGGCCCCCGTGAATCAGCAGCAGCACAGGAAGAGCTCAGCCGGCAGCAGGAGCCCCGGGGCTGCTGCTCCATGGGAAAAACACAAAATGAGCGGCTCAAAACACCAAAATGAGCGGCTCAAAACACCAAAGGAGCAGCCCCTGGGGCACTGGGAGCTCTGGGATCAGGGCAGGGGCTGCTGGGGGTGCCAGGAGGTGCAGGGATGTCACCTGTCCCTGTCCCAGGTGGGCAGCAGCGGCGATGCCATCTCCTGTGAGGGTGCCCTGTGCTGGCAGCTCCGCTCCGAGCCGGCCCTGCAGCTGCTGCTGCTGCAGCCAGAAATGCAGCAGGGAGAGGGGCAGAGCCCGGGCACCCTCCAGGGCACACAGGGAGCTCGTGGCCGAGCCCAGGGTTGGCATCCCCGTGCCCCAGGTGAGGGTCAAGGACGATTTCCATCCCACACTCCCTGGGCTCCCAGATGGGCATCGCCCAGTGACCTCTGCCAGCATCCCTTCCCCAGCACCCACTGCCTCTGACGGCTCATCCTGCCTCCCCAGGGGAGAATCCAGGGTGGTTTTTGCTGCCTGATCCCTCCGGATCCAGCTGATTCCCACAGGGAGCCTTCCCCGCAATTCCCTCTGCCTGGCACTGCGGCCGTGCCTCAGTTTCCCCTTCCCCACATCCCAAACGCTCCCAAAACTCCTCCCACACCCCCGGCCCACCCAGCAGGACCCACGGAGCCCTCGGGGGCTGCTGGCTCCCCCTGTGCCTTCCCCAGCAGGGCTGGGAACGGGGCCATGAGGCCACAAGGCTGGGCCGTGCCCGGGGCAGCCCTGCCCTTCCTGATTCCCTTCCCAGGCTCCTGCTAATCCGCTCCTGCTCCGTGGGAATGAATCATCCCACCTGCCAAAGCTCGCTCAGCTTCTGCCTTCCCTCCCAACCTTCTCCCTTCCCTCCCAGGCGACCCAGGAACAAAAGATCCCTCAGGAAAGGTGTGGGGGAGATGTCCCCATGTCCCCACGTCCCTGCAGCACCCCTGGCTGAGCCAGGTCCCCTCCACACCTGCACAGAGGCGCTCATCCCTTCCCAGGGGTCCCAATGGAACAGAGCTGCTGCTGCAGCCCCCAGACCCAAACCCAGCGTCCCTCCCGAATTCTGTGCTTGTGGAAGGTGGGGATGAACCCCTGGAGGTGCTGGGCATTCTTGCCTTGGCTGGGATGTACTGCAGGATTTTGTCCGTGCTCGTGTCCCGCTCCTGGCCTCCGTCGAGCCCAAAGAAGCTGGGCAGCTTTTTCTTGCCATTTTGTCTACAGGGAAAAAGGGGAAAAAAACCTTAAACACACATGGAAACGCAGGTCCAGGCTGAGGCATGGTGAATCCTGCCCTGAAATAAGGAAGCCGGCACACCAAGCATGCAATGTGTCACGGGCTTTCGAGTCATCCCAGGGATGACAAAGCCTGGGAGAGCTGAAAAGGGACTTTGCCACAGTTGTTGAGCTTTTTTCTTCTCTGCTTTTTCACGGGTCTTGGCTCAGCCAGATCTCTGGCTGGGACTTCCTCAGATTGCAGCAGAGACCCAGGACAATCCCCACGGGCGTGGGAAGCTGGGAGTCAGTGGGACAGGAGGGGCTCTGGGGCTTGGGAGCTCCACACAGGGCCCTGGAGCGAGACCCCCAAATACCCCAATGGATCCCCTCTCTTTTACCCCAAATTCCCTGAGGGATCCCCTCTCTATTACCCCACAGGAGCTCCTCAGGCCCCTCCAGGTTTTTCCCTGATTTCCGGCAGCACAGGGGACAGTTCAGGGTCTCCTTTCCATTAGAAACCCCCCAGCCCGGCAGAGTTTGGGGGTTTTTGGCACAGCCCTGACCCTGAACCCAACCCAGACAGGTTCATGAGGAATCCCCTGGTTCCCTGCAGGGTTCCTTTCCAGCTCTGGCCGTGCTGATGGGAGCAGTGGGAAGCTGGGAAGCTGCAGAGCATTCCCTGCCTGTGCCTATTTTGGGACAGCCACGGCACCTGAGTGTGGCCACCCAAATCCCCAAAGGGTTTCGCAGACGTTTTCTGCACCCAAATCCCCAGAGGATTTCACAGACATTTTCTGCTGCTCCCCCTTTGGGTTCACCAACACAAATCCTACAGCGGGTGCTGGGATTTGGGGCTTTCTCCCTAAAGCCCGAGCAGCGGGAATGTTGTTTTCTCACAAGTGTGAATAAGAGCTCTCCCAAGTGAAAACAGAGGAATATCGGGTGAATAACAGCACTCCCAAGTGAAAACAAGGGAATATCGGGTGTTCCGCAGCCTGTCCCGCCGGGGGAAGCTCAATTGCCCAAACAGAAATGAACCCAGCGGCGCTTGCCCCGTGAATTCCACCCCGGGCACTCGGGGCGAGCCGATCCCGGCTCTGGCAGTGCCCGGCACCCCCAAACCCACCGGGAATAGGAAATGCCCGCCGGGGAGATCCCGCAGGAGATCCCACAGCCCAGAGCCGGCTGGGGTTACTCACTCCTTTTTCAGCGAGGGTTTCCTTCGGAAGGAGCTCCTGAAGCCGCCGGGAGCCTGCGGGACACAGGCGATGTTCCCCATGCCGGGAGCGGGGCGGGATCGCTGGTGCGGGATCAGTGCGGGATCGGGGAGCGGTGCGGGATCGCTGGTGCGGGATCGCTGGTGCGGGATCAGTGCGGGATCGCTGCTCCGCGCCCGCCGCTCCGCGCCCGCCGGTGCCGAGCGAGTGCGAGCGCGGCCCGGAGCCGCTCCTGGCCCTCGGTCCTGCCCTCGCTCCCGCCCCGGGGCTGGGAGGGGCGGGCCCGGTACCTGCGCCGCGCCTGGGAATCCACCCCGAGCACCGCGGAACGGGGCTGGGGCCGCCCGCAAACCCAGCCCGGAGCGCCGGAGGGAATTCGGCACGGAAACCCATCCCGGAGCCTTCTCCCAAATGGAATTCTGCCCAGAAATCCATCCCGGAGCCTTCTCACAAATGGAATTCGGCTGATAAATCCATCCCAGAGCGTTCTCCCAAATGGAATTCTGCCCAGAAATCCATCCCGGAGCGTTCTCCCAAAAGGAATTTGGCACAGAAACCCATCCCGGAACTTTATCCCAAAAGAAATTCGGCCGATAAACCCATCCCGGAGCGTTCTCGCAAAAGAAATTCTGCCTATAAATCCATCCTGGAGCGCCAAAAGGAATTCAGCTCAGAAACCCATCCTGGAGGGTTCTCCCAAAAGGAATTCAGCTCAGAAACCCCATCCTGGAACTTTTTCCCAAAAGGAATTTGACTGATTAACCCATTCTGGAGGGTTCTCCCAAAAGGAATTCGGCCCAGAAACCCATCCTGGAATTTTTTCCCAAAAGGAATCCGGCCGACAATCCCATCCCAGAGCGTTTTCCCAAGTTTTCCCAAATGGAATTTGGCCGCCGCACCGGCGGTGATAAGGATGCAGTGAGATAAAGTTGGTGGTTGCTGTTTAAGCATTAACAAAAATCCCCGGGGTTGAAGGGTTCCGAAGGGTTCCCCCTTCCCAGCTGGGTTAAAGATATAAAAATAAACGGGAAAAAAAAAATCAAATGGGACACGAACCAAAATCTAGGAGTGGTGGGAAATGGATCAAGGGAGCAAAGGGCAAAAGGAGATGTGCATGAGCAGAAAAAAAAGAATAAATGCTTTAAAAGGAAGCAAACTGAAGGTTTCTGACTGTGCTGTGAGTGCCTCACTGCATGGAAATATAAACAATAAAAACGAGAAGTTAATGACAAAAGGTAAATGCAGACTCAGTATTTCTGTGCTGGAAAAAGCCCCCCAGGAATTACAGCCATAGGAAACAAGAAACCCTTTTTATTTTCAGGTGGCTGCTGAGAAGTGAACACAAAAATGAATGCTCTGGATCGAAATAGAGAGACAATTCACATTAGAAAGTTTGAAAGAGCTGAACACAAAGGGCTTGAGTCACTGTTGCAATTCAGTCTTGCAGGACCACGGAATTTGCAAAGAAATTGCATAATTTAGCAGGGATATCAGTGTTTCCATGGGTAAAAAACCACCCTGGTAATTATGGGGTTGCCAGTTGACAGTAATTCCTGGGAAAATGATGTAACAGCTGTGAGGGAGTTGGATTAACTTTGAGAATTACAGGAGGAGAATATAATTAATACAAATCAACACGGGGCTGTGGAAATGAGATCTTGTCAAAACAAATTGAACTGATGGCATGTTTGAAAAAAAAATCAGATGTAGTGAATACAAATAACAGTGATGTAAGAAACACCATAAAAGATGTGGTGTGACAAATCCGCAGGTTACTTCAGGAGGTTTTCCTGGGGAATCTGTTGGGATCAAGCTGGGGTTGGCAGACACACTCCTATTTGTGTTTTGCCCTAGCAAAATATTCCCCAAAAAGGGATTGCACGGCCAGGCCACACTCACCAGGAGAGAGCGGTTGAGAACGGATGTGCCACAACATTTCTCCCCATTTCTGACCTTTAAAGCAGCTCCTTTGTGGCCAGAACCCATTAACCCTTCCTGGCCCAGCGCAGCAGCAGGACCCCCCTCGGGAGGGCCCCCACCACAAATTCCCTGATTTTCACACAGGGGCTGCTCTGTGCTCTGCGCACAGCTGGGACAGAGCCCAGCACCTCCTGCCCATGGCCAGCAAACGGCCCCAGCTGTGCTCCGTGCAGGAAATGTGATTCCTCTTGGAGCCGTGGCTAACGCCGTCAGGCCGTGACCACGACGCGCTGCTCCTGCAGCTGGATCCCAATCAAACCTCCCAGCTCAGAGCAGGGACACAAACGCAGCTCCTGCTGCTGTCACAGGTGCTGGGACAGCAGTGACACCAGCAGGGCTGGCAGGGACAGGGGCACTGGGGCCACGAGGGGCTGACCTGCAACAGGGGCCGGGCACAGTTCGAGGGATAAAGGGGGGTTTGAAATAAATAGAGGAAGTTAAAGGCTAGGCAGAGTTAAAGGGATAAAGTGGAGTTTAAAGTAAATAAGGGAAGTTAAAGGCTAGGCAGAGTTAAAGGAAAAAAGTGGGGATTTATTTAAAGGCCTTAAAAGGATACACCTTGGGCAGAACAAGAGCTTGGCTGAGGTTACGCCCAAGATAGACTCAGAGTCAGGAGTTTTCACACTTTTATAAGTTTTGGTCCATTTCTATATTGGGGTTCACTGTCGGACCCCAGCTCCAGGCAATGCAGTCCCACTCTCCCAGTTTGCTCTCCTTCATTCTCTGCTGTTTGCACTTTTTGGACCTTTTGGGCCTTTTTGTTGTTTTCACTTTTTGGGGCTGAAGTTGCAGTGGTGTCCTTTGTTCTGGGGCTGGAAAAGGATTGTTCTGTGTGCCTGAGCTGTGAGGAGAACTTGCTGACACTTTATATGGAGTTCAGGGTTGCCCAACATCCTCTGGGGAAGAGCCTCTCCCTGATCTCCCTCCCAAACCCTCCCTGGCACAGCCTGAACCTCCCCTGCATGCTCAGGAGCAGCCCCAGGAGCCAGGGAAGGGACAGTGAAGGATGCACCAGGCAGGATCCAATATCCAAGAAAATGTCTTTATTGTACACGTTGGCTTCTATTGCTTGTATCCCCTCCCCAGCCCCACGTAGTGCAAAAAATTCAGAGAAAACAGAGTTCCACATAAATAAAGTTACAGAGAAATCAAAGTGACGACGCTCGGACATGGATCTGGACCAGGTGTGCCCAGCAGGGAGGCCCAGGGAGCCCCAAAGCAGGGCAGGGGCTCCAGCCTGGCCCTGCTGGGAACGACCCCAGAGCCCGGAGCCCCCCGGTTTGGGGATGCTCCTCTGCTGGGGGTTCAACAAGGAACATCTTGGGCGAGACAGCACGGACTGAAACCGGCAGGGAAGCCACACAGAGTTGTTCTCCTCCCCTCAGACAGCACAGACAGACAGACAGACACGGACAGGCGTCCCCTCCTCCTCCTCCTCCTCCTCGGCAGGGGACGGGCAGCACCAGGAGCGATCCCACCCTGGCACATGCCAGGGCGGGCGCTGACACCTCGTGTCCACACAGTGTGGGTCGGGGGGCTGGGGACCCCCAGAGGGTGCTGGGGGTTGTTTTTGCCCTTTCCTGCATAGTTTGGGCAGCACAGACAGGAGGTTCCCTCTTTGCTGGATTCCCATGGGTCAGGCTCAGGGGGATATTGCTCAGGAGCCAGCTGGGGGACACAGGAGCCACTCTGCCCCGTCCCTGCTCCTCAGGAAGCAGGATCTCCTGCTGCTTGACAATTCAGGCCCACAGGTACCACAGGAGTGAAATCTGAGCTCTGTGAGTGAGAACTGGGGAGCGGAGGGGGGGAAAAGGAGGAAGGAACGAGTTCCAAAGAGTTGGACCGTATTTCCAATGCTACATTTGAACATTTGGGCACATTGAGGTACCGGCGGTTGAGTCGTTCCTCTGCGGTGTGCAGAGCACCTGAGCTGTGCCTCAGCTCACGGCTCACACACACAGCACACCCTGAAACACCACAGCGCGGGGCCCTGGCTCTGGACAGGCCTCACAGTGCTAATTTAGCCAAGCTTTAGCTCATTAGAGGGGTTGTTTAATTGCCAGGGAGTCGCTGATTGGAAAGGGTCCCTCCCGTGCTGCTTTTGGCGTCTCACACATGCACACACCCCACCCATCCAGAGAGAACCTCCAGGGCACAGGAATCATCTCCTCCACAGATGGGAGAAGGAACTGCACCCCTCCTGCTGCCTGGAGAGCAGAGGGATGGGGAGTACCAGGGCAGAGTAAAAAACAAAGGGATATGGAGTCATATTAGCGCTCAAATAAAAAAAGGCAAATAAAAAAATTAATACCCAAAAAAGTAATGCCAGGCAATCCTCCTCCTTCGGAAGGCTGGACTGTTCTTCCTCCAAGAACTGATTCCTTTCCACACACCCAGAGTCTGCTTTGCAGAGAGGGGAACAGCAAACCCAGGGAGCCCCAGTGCGGAGCCTGGGCCAGCAGCGATGGCAGCGGTGCCACCGAGGTCCTGCACCACCTGCCCGGCCAGACCACGCTCAGCCGGGAGCCCAGGGGAGCCCTGGGGGGCTCGGGACCCTCCCCACCCTGCAGGGCTGTGCCTGGGCTGGGCTCCTTCTCTTGCTGTGGTTAAGGCATCAAAGAGACGCCCTCGGAGCGGGGCAGCGTCCGGAGCGGGGCACGCGCCTCGGGCTGAGCTGGCTACAGTGACATTCAGAGTGGGGGTCACATTGTCCCCCGGGGCCACCACAGGGCTGGCAGTGCCCCCACAGGGCCCCACAGGGCTGGCAGTGCCCGGTGGCACGGCTGGAGCACGGCAATCCCAGAAGCAGCAATGGTTTGGGGTCCCCCTTGCCCAGAGGAGCTTTGGGGGTGCTGGATGAGTCTGGCCGCAGGCAGAGCCCCCTGTGCCCTCCTGGAAGCCCAGATGGTGACCCCATGGGTGTCCCCAGAGCCCCCTGTGCCCTCCTGGAAGCCCAGATGGTGACCCCATGGGTGTCCCCAGAGCGGGCAGAGCCCCCTGTGCCCTCCTGGAAGCACAGCTGGTGACCCCATGGGTGTCCCCAGAGCGGGCAGAGCCCCCTGTGCCCCCATGGAAGCACAGC